CTCTATGGCAGTGAGGCCCTAACTACTGCCAATGGGTCTCCTCAATGATAGTAGGCCCCAACTACTGAGAATAGGTTTCTATGACAGTCAGGCCCCAACTACTGCAAAGAGGCCTCAGGGACAGTTCGGCTCTAATTACTGTGAATGGGGCTCAATGATAGTAGGCCTCAACTACTGAGAATGGGTCTCTATGACAGTCAGGCCCCAACTATTGCAAAGAGGCCTCAGTGACAGTTTGGGCCAAATTACTGTGAATGGGGCTCAACACTAGTAGGCCCGACTACTGAGAATAGGTCTCTATGACAGTTAGACCCTAATTACTGCCAATGGGCCTCCTCAGTGATATTAGGCCGCAGCTACTAAGAATGGGTCTCTATGACATTTAGGCCCTAATTACTGTTAATGAGCCTCTACCACAACTTTGCACAGGCCTCCTCAACGATAGGCCTTAACAACTACTGTGAATGGGTCTCTATGACAGGCCCTACTTGCTGCCAATAGGCCTCCTCAATTATAGTAGGCCCCAACTACTGAGAATGGGTTTCTATGACAGTCAGGCCCCAACTATTGCGACAAGGCCTGAGTGACAATTCGGCTCTAATTACTGTGAATGGGGCTCAACGATAGTAGGCCTCAACTACTGAGAATGGTTCTCTATGACAGTTAGGCCCTAATTACTGCCAATGGGCCTCCTCAACAATAGTTAGACCCCAACTACTGCAAATAGGACTCTATGACAGGCCCCAACTATTGCAAAGAGGCCTCAGGGACGGTTAGGCTTCAATTACTGTGAATGGGGCTCAACGATAGTAGGCCCCAACTACTGAGAATGGGTCTCTATGACAGTTAAGGCCCTAATTACTGCCAATGAGCATCAATGATAGTAGGCCCCGACTACTTTGAATGGGTCTCTATGACAGTGAGGCCCTAATTACTGCCAATGGGCCTCATCAATGACAGTAGGCCCCATCTACTGCAAATGGGTCTCTATGACAATTAGGCCCTAATTGCTATCAATGGGCCTCTACCACAACTTTGCACAGGCCTCCCCAATGATAGTTAGGCCTTAACAACTACAGTGAATGGGTCTCTATGACAACCCAATGGGCCTCCTCAATGATAATAGGCCCCAACTACTGAGAATGGGTCTCCATGACAGTTAGATCCTAATTACTGCCAAAGGGCCTCTACCACAACTTTGTACAGGTCTCCTCAACGACAGTTAGGCCTTAACTACTATGAATGGGTTTCTGTGACAGGCCCTACTTGCTGCCAATAGGCCTCCTCAATTATAGTAGGCCCCAACTACTGAGAATGGGTCTCTATGACAGTTAAGGCCCTAATTACTACCAGTGGGCTTCCTCAATGATAGTAGGCCCCAACTACTGTGAATGGGTCTCAGTTGTTGTTGTTCATTCGTTCAGTCATCTCCGACTCTTCGTGACCTCATGGACCAGCCCACGCCAGAGCTCCCTGTCGGCCGTTACCACCCCCAGCTCCTTCAAGGTCAGTCCAGTCACTTCAAGGATGCCATCCATCCTTCTTGCCCTTGGTCGGCCCCTCTTCCTTTTGCCTTCCACTTTCCCCAGCATAATTGTCTTCTCTAGGCTTTCCTGTCTCCTCATGATGTGGCCAAAGTACT